GCCCATGACTCCGAGCTGGCACTCGGGTGACTGCTGTGGAAACGTCCGCTGTGCCTGGGGGGCAGCGATCGCACCCCCTGAGCCCCGAGGTCTCCGTCCGGAGGTTCCTGGACATCGCCCATTAGTGGGGACCCTGGGCTGGGAGGCTGACACGCCCCCTGAGCACTGAGGCCGCAGCCTCCGACCAGCACCCACAAAGCACAGACGCCAGCGAGGACCCCGCCGCCCGGGGCGGTGTTGTCTCCCGTCCAGTGCTGTTCCGTGGCCACGGGCAGCAGCTCAATAAACCGCTCTGTGCACGGAGCCTCTGCCCTCATTCTCAGTCTGGGCCCTGCACATAGCAGGCAGCCCGTGCGCTTACGTGTCCATGTCCAGAGCATGATGAGGTCTCGAGTGCCCGGCCGGCGCGGCCCAGTGGCTGAGCATCGAATCATGAACCAGGAGGTCAGGGTTCGATTCCCGTCAGGGCACGTGCCCAGGTCGTGGGCTCCATCCCCAGTGGGGAGCGTGCAGGAGGAGGCAGCCGATCCATGATTCTCTCTCATCATTGATGTTTCTATCTCTCTCTCCCTCTCACTTCTCTCTGAAGTCAAATTTCTTAAAGACACATTTTTTAAAAAACAACCAAGGTATTGTCACCTTGACCTCCCGCCCCCCAGAGTTCATTGAAGGGGCCGTTAGAGGGTGAAGCAGGACAAATCCCACCCTCCCGGCCTGCACCCCGCGGGCAGGCTGCCAGGAGGGGCTGGCGGGCGAGGTCTGCAGACCCTCGAGGTGCGGGCGTTCTGTGCTGGCCACTCCGGTGCTGTTTTCACGTTGACATAGGTCACAATATATTTGAAACCTCTTATCCTGATCGACTATAATTAACAGACAAAAGGCCACTGAAGAAAAATGCAGAAGCAGAGATGGAAATAGGCTTTCTGAGGAAGAAGTTACTGGTTTTAAGCAAACTCGGCAGCTAAATGAAGTGACAGCAAAGTGCCGAGGGGTCTGCTGTCGGAAGGGAGGGGAGGGGAGGGGAGATGAAGAAGCTGGTGGGCGGAGCGCGGTTTCCAGGAACCGTGGGGACCCCATCCAGCGCCCTGCAGGCTGCTGTCGCCCCATGTTCCGGTCACCCCCCCCCACCCCCCCGTGTTCCGATCGCCTGGTCTGTAGTTGTTCTGGTTGGGAATGAACTCAGTACACGGTCCGAAGGGAGGTTTCGTTTCTCCTCGGCCGGCCGCGCTGTGCGATCACCCACACGGGCGAGATCTGGGAGCATCCAGCTCGCCCTGTGGTCTAACTCTCTCCCCTCAGGACACAGATTCCCGTGTGAAAATAGGCTAAAGAGATAAAAGGTTCCGGCACCTGTCGTGGCTGGAGCCCCTCTGATTTGTGTGAATTTGCAGGAAGTTCGGGCCAGGAGGTGGGGCAGACGCCGGGACCTGGCCCCTCCCAGCACACCCCCAAGGCGGGAAACAGGGGCAGGAGTGAGACTTGCCCCAGGCGAGGGGCTCAGAGGAGGGGACCGCGGCAAAGCCCTTTGCAAACCGCAGACGGCAGGTGGACGGGGAGGAACGGGCCGGTGGCGCCAGAACTCGGAGACAGCGCTGCAGACAGCGACCGGGTGGGGAAGACGCGTGTGCACAAAGGTGTTTGTTTCCCTCCTTCAGACACTCCTTCCGCTTAGAATAGACACAGTCTACCGCAGTGATGGCGAACCTATGACACGCGTGTCAGAGGTGACACGCAAACTCATTTTTTTGGTTGATTTTTCTTTGTTAAATGGCATTTAAATATATAAAATAAATATCAAAAATATAAATCTTTGTTTTGCTATGGTTGCAAATATCAAAAATTTCTATATGTGACACGGCCCCAGAGTTAAGTTAGGGTTTTTCAAAATGCTGACACGCCGAGCTCAAAAGGTTCGCCATCACTGGCCTAGAGCCGCCTCATCGGTAGCGGCTGTTAGAAACGGCAGTCATTGGCCACGCGCAACTACGGCCCTTCGGTGCCAGCACTCGGTGACGCCGGCGGTGAGCTTAGCACCCATTTTCATGTTTTTTTAGGAAAATAAATACAGCTCACTTATTTTGTTGTTGCTCATCCTCACCTGAGGATATTTTTCCCATTGCTTTTCAGAGAGTGGGAGGGAGGGAGCGAGAGAAACACATTGGTATGAGAGAAACACATTGATTAGCTGCCTCCCGCACTCGCCCTGACCAGGGGCGGGGAGCGAACAAGCAACCCAGGTGTGTGCCCTTGACCAGGAATCAAACCTGAAACCCTTGGGGGTGGGGGCTGCCGCCCTAACCACTGAGAACACCAGCCGGAGCTCAATACAGCTCACTTTTCATGACCTTTAACTCACCAGTCTTTTCCTTTAAGAGACCTTTGCTGCCCAGGCTGGTTGTGGCTCGGTTGGTTGAGCGCCATCCCGGGCGCCAAGAGGTCACCGGTTTGATTCCCCGTCAGGGCACATGCCCAGGTGGTGGGCTCCACCCCAGCAGGCGGCGTGCAGGAGGCAGCCGATCCATGTTTCTCTCTCTCTCCCTCTCCCTTCCTCTCGCTCTAAAAAATTAAAAACCTGTTTTTAAAGGAGAGAGAGACGTCTGCCCGCCCGAGGTGCGCAGGCACTGCCCACGCTCACCCGACGCCGGTTGTGTGGGGGCCGCCTGCACCTCCACCTGCATCTCCATCAGCGGGCGAGACCCAGCGGAGCCGGGAGCCGCGGAGAAGGGGGATTCCGTCCGGGGTCAGGGGTCTCCCTGGGGCCTGGCTCGGGCAGCCGCCTCGTCACAGGAGTCCAGCCTCGCCGCTTCTAAGGCAGGAGGAGACGACGTTTGTGCTGGTTTTAACCCCCCCTCCAGGCTGCCCCCTCCAGTCAGTGGCCAGGGGAGGACTCCCCTTCTGCCGAGTTCAGAAACTGGGGTGGCATCAGGCACCCTTTTCCTTCATTTATTTCATCAGAGGACCCAACCCGGAGGCGTCCGTACTCTGGTGTTTTCGTGAAGGGAGGTCAGAACTGAGCTCGCGGGCGCCTGTGGCCGCGCTGGCTTCCTGCTCAGCGGTGCGGGTCCTGGCTCAGGTGGCTTCGTGTCTTTTTACTTCTTTTCTTTTCTTTGTTAATCCTCGCCCGAAGATATTTCTATTTTTCCCATTGATTTTGAGAGAGAGTGGAAGGGAGGGGGAGAGATCAATGTGAGCGACACGTCGATGGGCCGCCTCCCACCTGGGACCCCTCGGGATCGAACCTGCAGCCCAGGTGCGTGCCCTCGAATTTGATCGGGAATCGAGCCCGCGATCCTCGCTGCGTGGCCGACGCTCCAACCACGGAGCCAGGCGGGCCGGGGCTCAGGCTTGTATCTTTTCATTAAATGTACTGATTTTCTCTGGAAACCACTGTCATTCCAAATTGGACACAAGAGTGTTGCCAAGATGTTTACTTTGGGTGCTAATAACCAACGGTTTTAATGAAGAAATAAACTGGAGTTTAATTTCTTCCCAAATTCAGTCGTAAAATCTCTTCGGGTAAAAGGCCCATGAAGAAGGCGCTGCGGGTGGTCTGTGGCCGTGGCTGCTACTGTCTGGTTTCCAAGGTAACGAGCGCATCTCCTGAAGGTGGGGGGCAGGGGGGTTCCTCCTGAAGGCGGGGGGGCGAGTCCTCCTGAAGGCGGGGGGTCCTCCTGAAGGGGGGGTCCCCCTGAAGGCAGGGGTCCCTGTGGCTGCCAGAGGCTGGGTTCTCACTGGGGACCCTCCAGCTCCCGGGCCCCTGGCTGAGGACGGGCCACGCAGGTAAAAACCCGCCACTGTGGCCGCAACCCCTCCTGAGGAAACCTACCCCCTGCCTGCTTGGTTTTTGGGGGGTTTTTTTTCACTTTTTATTGGAAAGTTTAAATGAACACAAAGGCAGGAACTGCCCCGTGGGCACCTGCCCTCCACCAACCAGGAGCGCACTCCCGCGGGTCCCGTCTATTGTGCCGCCCGCCCGGCTTCCTCGCGGCCGGAGGCTGTTGGCTGGGACCCCGAGTCTGTCCTCTGAGGCTCAGGGACTGACGCGCCCTCCTGCCTGGCTGCCTGGCACCTTCCAGGGGCTCTGCAGCGCCTGCTGGCCCAGCGCCCGGGCAGGGCGGCCCTCCCCGCACAGCTGAGCAGCACGAGCAGGAACAAGGCTCCGCAACAGACACGGGACGGCTCAGAGCGATGCGTGGGCCCCGGACGCCCGCCAACCTGCTCCTCGATCCCAGGGGAGTCGGGGACTCGGGATGTGGCAACATTTTAATGCAAAGGCAAGGCAGCGGCCCCCTCTCCACCTCCAATGTCAGACGGGAAAGGGCCTCACGGAGGAAAGGCGTTTTGAGGGACAGCAGTGAGCTCGGACAGACACGGGACGGCTCAGAGCGATGCGTGGGCCCCGGACGCCCGCCAACCTGCTCCTCGATCCCAGGGGAGTCGGGGACTCGGGATGTGGCAACATTTTAATGCAAAGGCAAGGCAGCGGCCCCCTCTCCACCTCCAATGTCAGACGGGAAAGGGCCTCACGGAGGAAAGGCGTTTTGAGGGACAGCAGTGAGCTCGGATCCTGTCCTGGGGGGGGGGGGGGGGGGGTGCCCGGCCTCAGTCGTTGCAGATGGAGGGCCTGCGGATGTTGTAGCTGGGGTGGAAGTTCAGCCGGTTGTAGGAGGTGATGCAGTTGTCGGCGCCCGACACGGAGCTCTTCTCCACGTGGACGTTGAAGGAAGTGTTCCGGAACATTCCCGCGGCCGCCAGCTGTCTGGAGAAGCTATTTGAATATGCGTAGAACACTTTCTGGAAGGGCAAAGGAAACACAGCAGTGCCTGGGGAGACTGTTACCCGTTCGTCACTCGGTATTTCGGGGAGAAAAAGAATTCGTAAGGAAACGTCTCTATTCTTTCGAAGCAGCGAGGCCAGTGCGACCGGAAGGCCTAGTTGCCCCCGGCCATCCCCGGCCACGCCCCCCATCCGGACAATGACCAGTTGTGCCTCCTCCCACCGTCACACGGAGGGAAGGGTCAGCTCCGGCCGCCTGCGTGTGGCATGGCCCCCCCAGGTGTGGCTAGGAGCCCTGACTGGGGGGTCCCGCCTCAAGCCCCCCCAGTTCCTGGTTTACAAACGGTGCCATCAGGCCGTTATCGGACGTTTCTTTGTTTGCCTCAGAACTGACGTGTGTGTGCATAAGTGCGCGTGTGTGTGCATAAGTGCGCGTGTGTGTGCGCGCGTGTGTGCGCATGTGTGCGCGTGCATGTATGTATGTGTGTGTGTGCGTGTGCGTGTGTGTGTGTGCGTGTGTGTGTGTGTGTGTGTGTGAGAGTGAATGGGGCCGGTCCCTCCAGTACCGTGGGCGAGTGCACATGCACTTTGCACCCTTGAACAATTTCACCGCCAGATCTCGGGTCGAGTCCTTCATTCCTACCCGCCCTGCTCCAGCGGGCTCCGCAGTCCCTCCCACTTTGCCTCCTGGAGCCCTGGGCCCCCCCAGCCCCGAGGTGTGAGGCCCTTTGAGAAATCCAGGGTTCAGGTCTCTTCTAGAGACGCCCGCCCTCCCCCGGGCTCTTGCCCGCTTACCGGCATCTCGTGCACAGTGGGCGCTCTGCTCCCGTAGGCCTGGTTACTGGTCCTGTACACCGAGGCGGGCTCCTTGGTCCTCCTGGCAGGTGACACACACCCTCTATTTTCCGTGCATTCGTGATCACCCTGCCTGAGCCCCAGCCTGCACGGGTCTGACGGGTGGAGCCTTGTTGGAAGTGCCCCAGGTTGGAGATGCAGCCCCGGATGTGGGCTCCCGGGGAGCGCAGTGCGGCCTCCTGGTCCCTCTGCCCACCTCCGCCCCTGCCCTTCCCAGAGAAAAGCCCTAGAGAATTTCCCAGGGTCACGCACTGGCCCTCAGCACCCATCGGCCAGGCACACATGGTCGTTTCCCGGTAGGTGGGTAGGCCCGGGGCTGTGTGTGGCTCAGCCTCCAGACCCCGCCACCAAGGGGGCCTCCACTCCCAGCCTCCCGAGAAGATGCCTGCAGGCCCTGGTGCCAACTCTACCACCAGAACAGGCTGACCGTGGGCCCCACACTGTGAGGTCCCGGAACCCCGCCATCTTCCACCCTCCCAGTCCTCTCTCCGGGAACAGATCCGGCTCTGGGATTGTGGGGGGCCTGGAGGCCGGAGGGCGGGGATGAAGGGTGTAGTTTGCAGTGCACTGCAACAGCTCGCAGGCCACCCACTCCGCTGGACGTGGGGCCGGGTTCCCACTTTCCAGGGCTCCTCTGTCTGGAGAGGAGTGGGGCTTCCCCCAGCCTCAAAGCTGGGCTTCCAGACTCCTGGCATCCACCCCGCGCTGCGGCTGGACCCACGGACGTGTGTCCAAAGCTCTGGGCAGCACTGGGCAGCTCATCTGGTGAAGAGCTGACCACGCTCTTGGCTGAGGTGCCCGGCCGGCTGGGGACCTGGGCTCCCGCATGCAGGACGGGACCGCCCACTGGGGAAGGTGGCCTCCCTCTCTCTCTCCGGCGTTTGCCCGGGGACCCCACCCGTGGCGCTCACCTGTAGCCCCGGAAGCACGCCGGGTGGTTGAACCGAGCCGGCAGGTCCTTGTCCACGCGGTAGTAGTCGCTGGTTTTCTCCGGGGGGGCCTGGGCCTCGGGCTCCTCGGGCTCC